CTTGAACTCTGGGCCTGGGCGCTGTCCCTCAGCTCTTCAGCTCAAGGCTAGCGCTCTACCACTTGAGCTACAGCGCCAGTTCCGGTTTTTTGGTCAGGTTTATTGGAGATAGGAGTCTCAACGGTCTTTCCTGCCCGGGCTGGCTTTGAACCGCGATCCTCAGATCTCAGCCTCCTGAGTAGCTAGGATGACAGGCGTGAGCCACAGGCGCCCGGCTCCTCTTTCGTTGTTTAGTAGAGTTTCAAACCGCACTCTCATAGTTACTCAGTACACGTAGCAGCCTGGGCGCCTCATCTCCCAATCTACCTTCTCATCTTTTCCAGGTCACTTTAATTCAACAAATGTTTGAGTGTCTTCTGTATACTCTGTAGCTTCTGAAGTAGTCTTCAAGTAGCATTTTATTTGAAGAAAAGATGTCCCTGTTTTTAAAAATTAAACACTTGAAAGCTTTGTGTACAGAATGTATCTGTAAGGATTTTACCAAACACATATTCCATCTTCTGACCGAACACCTTCAGAAAAAGGGAACTCACTGCTCTGTGGGAAACTTAACAAAAGCTTTAATACAATATCGTGTATAAAAAGTACATGCATAATGATTATAGACTTTACATTGAATTACTAGGGTGTCATTGCTGCTGCTTTTTGAAATACTGGAGTTTGAACTCAGGGTTTCACGCTTGCCCTCTTGTACTGGCCGTTTTAGATAGCATGTCACTTCTGCCTCTGCCAGCCCTGATGATACAGATGACAGGTGGGCATCACCAGGTCCAGGCCCAGCTTTTTCTGTTGAGAATAGGGACTCAGATTGCTTTAGTTTTTTTGAGGCAGGATCTCACCATGTAGTCCAGGATGGCCTTGAACTCATGCTCCTCATATGTCACCATTCTCAGTTCATCAGTGAGAATCTACAGAATGATGCTACCTCCCATTGCAGACATTGTCTGTACATGGTTTAGTGTAAACTGGACATGAGATTTTTTTTCTTTCTTTTTTTTTTAAGTTTCTTAGATATTTCTAATGTTCAGCAAAGCTTGGGAGCCCTGCCAAAGTTTAAACAAAAATATTGTCCTTGGAATTTTATTTCCTACTGATTTGTTTTCTTCTTACTAAAGCTGTTACAATTGAAAACTGGAGCTTGTGTTCCTGGAATGTGCCTGAAATGTATTCATAGGATACTCTTGATAGAAAAGATCAAATATGAAGTTTCATACATAGCTGGGAATACAAAATGATGTGGCCAGTCTAGGAACAAGTTTGGTGATTCTTATAAATCTACACACATAAAACACCACATGAGGCTGAGATCTGAGGATCGTGGTTCAAATCCAGCGCAGTCAGGAAAGTCCCTATGAGACTGTTGATCTCCAGTTAACCACTCAAAAATTTGAAGTGGCACTGTGGTTCAAGTGGTAAAGCACTAGCCTTGAGCTGAAGAGCTCAGGGACAGTGCCCGGGTCCAGAGGTTAAGCCCTGACTGACAAAAACAAAATACACACCAAAAAACATGATCCAGCAGTCTCACTCCAAGCAAAATGAAAACACGTTCACACAAAACCCTGCATATTTAAAAAAAAAAAGGGATTAACGAAGGAAAGAATGAGAGAAGGGAGAAAAAGAAAAGGGCACATTGATTAGTGTGAACATTTCAGCTCTATTAGGGCTGTGTAGGGGAGAGCAGGCGAGAGAGCTTGTTTCTGAAATTCTTAGGCAAAAACCTCTGTTCTAGCCTTTCACTGTCTTATTTCTATGTGGGTTGATAAGCAGGCTTTATCTCTGCAGCTGACAGTTGGGACTTGATGAGCTGTTTCTCTCTTAGGGCCTGACTCATAAGGTCATCTGGGTCTGTATCTTTATAAATGGCAGAAGACGGTAGAGGGCTCATTTGAATATTTGAATATGTTTAGTGTTTTCAGACAAAGTGAAAATAAGGGCAGTGTCTGTAAAGTTCACTGTTATTTTCTGTCATTGAAAGCTTTTAAAGGTTAAGGAATTAGGAATAGTGCTCGCTCCAAGACTGTTTTGTATAGTGCCACTTGAGTTGGAACTAGCTGTGAGGGTAATGACTAAAAATCCCATGCGGTCTCTGGAGACAGATTTTGAGACGGATAGTCAGGAGTGGTGGCAGCATTGCTGTGGTGTGCGTGCGCCGCAGAAGCGGCGCTTCTCATCACTCAGTTTGTGAAGCCGGCCCAGTCTCATGCTGCCTTTTTGCTGTCTCCCGTCCTCCCTCCCAGTGGCAGCATGGAACCTGCGTTTCACAGAGGAGACCTGCTCTTCCTGACAAATCGAGTTGAAGACCCCATACGAGTGGGGGAAATTGTCGTGTTCAGGATAGAAGGACGGGAGATCCCCATAGTGCACCGAGTCCTGAAGATTCATGAAAAGTAGGTGCTGCTTTGAAGTATAAAGATCCTGGGAGACATAACAGTCTGTGTTTTGTAGAGCATGACGATAGCACTTCCCAGACTTTGTTCAACTTCCCAGTTAATGTCCTAATTTTTTTTTTTTTCTGTCAGTCATGGGGCTTGAACTCTGGGCCTGGGCGCTGTCCCTCAGCTCTTCAGCTCAAGGCTAGCGCTCTACCACTTGAGCTACAGC